AGATCTTCAGCATGCAGCCCCTGCATCAGGAGTGATTTAAACAGCTTTGGTCCCATTTGATGCCAGTGCAGCAGCATGCTAACCTCAAGGAAATGTTACGACTTAAGGACTGATTTATTGTGTGTGTGTCAAACTTCTAACAACTGTTTTTCAACACTTTTCTTTCTTTCACCCTGCTGGAGCCATAGAAGTATGTAGCTGATGGTATAGAAATGGGGTGAGACGGTAGGCATTGTTGGGCTGATATCTATCTGAGACATGCTGTGGAAGAGATGACAATATGTCCAGGGTTTAAAGGCAGTCCCAGCTCTTCTGCTATGTCTCCAAGCTTGAGTGATATTCTGGGACAACTATGAGACTTAGCAGTTTTCCTCTTGATTTTCTGACAGTCGTGTCAAGAGACAGAAGAATTACCTTTCTTATCAAGTTCAGCAAACTGAAATTTGCTTTAAGAGGGGAGAAATTAAGCTATCTTCAGGATTTGAATTTATTTTTTAAAGGAGGTGATTGGAAAAGATGATTATTTAAAGTTGGAAAATAAAAGCAAAATGAGGGGGAGGGTGGTTATCACTCTGAAGTGGAGATTGAAGGTGGGAAAAGAGAAACTGAGTTACTTTTAACTGCAACAGGTAAGAGAGTACAGTCACTACTACCTTTCTTGTCTCCAAATGAAACCAGTCAGAGGGATAGTTGAGTATTCTGTAACAGGAAAGACCATTAGCACCTTGGTTGGTTGGTTGGTTGGTTGATAATGTGTGATCCATCCGATATCAGGATTCATACCATTTGCATGAGAATTAAACTTGTGAATGAAGTTAAGTTTCAGTCCTTCTCTGTGTATTTGGTTTGTGGAATTGGTCTGAAACAAAACAGCGACCTGGAGATCCATTAATGAGTGTCCCGGAAGATTAAAGTGTTGTATGTTTTTGTGATATCAATGGCTCGCACATTATCAACCAACCAAACAATGAATATGCTAATGGTTCTCAATGTCTGTGTAGAATCTGGTGTTGGTCATCTTCCTTTCCAAGTGCAAACTTATGGTTCTTATCAGCCTCTCGTAATTATTTAGTCTTTTAGGTGCTGACTATTTGTTGTGTTTTAAGTCTTTCCTGCTGTCCCTCTGAAGCTTATCTACTCGTTCTTCTCTCCTCCCCTCCCCCTTATTTATTCTTGGATTTGGACTTCCAATTCTCTGGTCATCTGAAGAAGTGGGTTATGCCCACGAAAGCTCATGATGCCATCTACATGTTTTGTTAGTCTTTCAGGTACTACTAGACTATTTGTTGATTGTTTAAGTTTTTCCTGTTACAGACTAACTTGGCTATCCCCTGAAGATTTCTATAACTGCCACTTCCAGGCAGTTACTAGTTTTAGAATCCCGGCTGACAGAATTCCTAGTAGTCAAATGCTAGAAGCAATGATGTAGGAGTGAAGATTTATTACTATAATTTACCTGTAAATCTTCTCTAAAGGTAAAGAATGTTCTTCATTTCTCCCAAATCCCATGGGTCTCCCTAATAATAGAACATTTTACTTGGGCCACCAGTTTAGCCATGATTCAATACTCACATTGTTGACTTACTTAATATGATCTTCTAGGGTTGCAGGTTTATCTGTTTTTATTTTATTATTTTTTCTGTAGCCTAGTGCTATAGGTAATGTTTACAGTAAACTGTGGAGATAACGTAAGGTCTTATTGCCAGGTTTTGAATGTTTTTCCCTCAAGTATAGTCCTGGACACTCCAGGAGATACAGATTGTCATGTGATGAAACCTCCAGGAATACTTCCTGCAGAGAGTCTAGTATTGTTAGGGGACCCACTGCAGCCTTATCTTCCTAAAATCATTTAGCCACCTAATAGTCCCAACCAAAATTGGCAGCCCTGCTGTAGTCATGAAATAAGTTAAAACAAAAATATATAGTGCATTCCGAAAATAAAAGTCCAAAAAGAATTCCATGTAACTACCTCTATTTTTGCTTTAATTTTTCTTTGCCAATGACTTATATTTATTTGAGTACACAACTATAACACATTTGCTTCCTTTTATTGTCTCTTGCATAGTAATTTCACTGTTAACCTCATAAGTTATTTCAGAACTACCTTAATAAATGCAAATGTCAACCTGCTACTACTAATATGAAAAATTCTAGGCTAGTTCACTTTCAAAATTCAGTGATCCTTCTCAGATATGTGTTAAACTGTAAGCCCCTGTGGGAAGATGAGTGGATTTTATAAAATATAACTCTGATTCTACAATTATTGAATGCAGACAGGTACTCACTCCTTTGTGAGTCTCCTGCCCCAGTGAAGCCAATTGCACTTTACAGGTGCAAGGTTCTATCAGCATTGTGTTCTGCTGGAGGACAAGGGTTTAAATGTGTTGTTTGCAACTTGTTCTGTGGGATTGTATTTCTTCAAAACCAAATAGCAGTAAGTTGATATTGTTGGCATTTAGCAACACCAGGGTCAGAATGAGGTCTTATGTTGATTATGTGGAATTTAATCATTTTAACTGTCATAGTAGTTGTAAGTGGAACACAGTGCATTCCGACATTCATTTCTTCTGAGTGAGTGTTGGAGTCTCTTGAGTTTTCTCAGTTACATTTTTCTAGAAAGGAAAAAGTTTCATTTTAGCTTTCTTGCTAACTTAACTGCCTGGCACTTAGGTAGTATTATACTCTTATGGCTCATCTAGACTACAGGGAAAGGTCGAAAGAAGATATGCAAAAATTTCGAAAGTGAAAGTAAGACTGGCTTTTTTCTGACAACCCCTCCTCCCCCCTTGTCGAAAAGCTGCATAAACCTCCTTTTTTGAGGAAGGGCAGCTTTTTGACAAAGGGGGCAGTTTGCCAAAAAAGTCATGCCTTAATTACTTTCACTTTCGAAAGCTCTGCTTTCGACTGTTCCCTGTAGTCTAAATGAGCAGCCATGGTCTAAACGTTACCATGCATATGCTGCATTTAAGTCTCCAACTGATGTCTCTCGAGTTGTTGCTACCTACTGGCAATATACTAATAAAGACACAGTCAATGGCATGTTTTGCCAATCAATCATAATGTATAGTGTAAATAAATAACCCTGGCACTCCACCCAGAAAAACTACACTGCCTATTAGAATTCTGATTGTATACTATCTAAGGCAGGGGTGGGGAACCTTTTTTGGGTTGGAGGTCGCTGGCCCATAGAAAAAATCAGTCAGGGCCGCACAAAAGTGAGAAGCCCCTGGCTGAGAAGGAAAAAGTCACTCCTCACATTCCCCTCACACACCATAGTCTAGGCTAGTAGATTTTGTATGCTCCAGTCCTGTGGATGAGTAGGGGGGCTGGAG